TTCAAAAGATTTAACTTGAAACGTTACATGTCGCATCACATCTTTAGTCTGAAGTTAGTTTTTTTTTTTTTTCTTTCAATTTTCTTGAGAGTTATGCTCATGCTAAGGAATAATTGATTTAAAAAACAATGGACATGAGGCTTTGCACCTCATGCTCACCGATAAGTACGGTGGATGATTTGTAATGCTGTGGGCTTGCTTCTCTTCAGATGGCTCTGAGAGCCTCGTCGCATCGCATTAACCCTCAGAAATACCGGAGAATTTTAAATAGAGATGAGGCGGCCTTTTTTGATAGCTGAGAATGGATCCATCAGCCGGGTCATTCAGCTCAGAAACAGTTCACCAGATGCAAAATCACCTGCACTCGTAACAATCTGAGCTCTCAGACTTAAATCCCACAAGAAGCCTGCAGGGTGAGCGGGAGGAAAACAGAGGATGAGAGAAGATCTAGAACTCTTAAACGATTCAGACAGATTGTGCACAAAGAGGAGAGATGCTACAGGCAAGAAAAGAAGATTATGCCAAAAGGAGGTTTAAGAAGTGCTGGTAAGAAAGAGTGCTAATAATTGTTGCACCTGTGATTTTGTTAGCCAAAACAAAAACAATAGATGTTTTCCAATTCTGGGATTTTGTTCTCACTACATTAACTGTCCTCAAATTAAATGTTGATTTGTTTTCCTGTGTGAAATCATGATACTGCAATAAGAAAACAACAACAAAAACAAGATTTAAGGCTTCTTTAAGGCTTCTTTACTGTGCATGTTGCACAGTCGTGCAATTGCAGGTGTCCCCTGTATAAAGACTAAGTCGGCTGTCCGGGTTTTGATTCCCAGCCTCTGTCATTTACTGTATGTCTGTCCTCTTTCCTGTCTGCTAAAGCTTTCACACAAGTCCAACTGTGACAAAAAAGAAATCATTGAAAAGAAAACCTAGAAATAAAATAAATAAAAAAAACAAACAACAACCCAACAATAGAGGTTTTCATAGCTGCATCAGAAGTTGTTTTGAGCAACTTCAACAGTCGAACTGTGATTCATTCATCCCCTAGCTTTTCCACTGCAATATTTCAAGAGCATTACTGATGATACCAAACTAAATCATTTGATCTAAAAAAAGAATGACGAGGAGGAGGGAAAAAAAAAAAAAAAAAAGGCAAACATCTTGAATTGGTCGAGAACCAGATGGCCTTTTTTACTTTAAGAAGTTGCTTTGGCATTTTAAAGAAGGCAGCCTCAGAACGGTTACAGAGGAACTTCCGCAAAGCGTGGAACAAGGCCCACAGATATTTGAGCAACATCCAGAGCAATTTACTGTTTTATTTACAAACTAAAACATATGTCCTCAGAGCTTCAGAACCCCCTCCCAGTCCACATCCACCCTGTTTCCACACTAATTTACTGTCACTGACTTTTTTTTTCTCCTCTAATTCATTTGCCTTTTTCCCCACTTGACTTTCCCTCTCTCTGTCTATCACTCAGCAGTCAATCACAACCTTTCTACACCCCACCTGTGTGCCGACTGCAACTTAGATCCCCGTGCTTTAATGTACTTTTAGATCTTATGGTTTTTTTTGTGTGTGTGTGTGCTTTTTTTTTTTTTTTAATGCTGGTGTTGTTTTGTCCGATGCTCTCTGTGCCTGTGGGACCATCTGAAACATCTTACAGAGAGAGACACATATTTGCCGTTTTAGAGCACAAAAGGAGATGCCACGGCAGAGGGCGTTTGAAGTGGCTTCACAGGGGGAACCAGAACCAGAGCGATGGATTTGAGAAGCCATGCAGAAATGTTAACGCAATGTAACTCTGCTAGGGCCATCTAATCTAATGGAGGCGGATACTGATTCAATGTGAAGGCAGACGCCTTTGAAGCCGGGTTCTGTTGACGTTTCTCATGCAACAGCTCTGTTGGAGGGAAGCGGCGCTCCTCTCCAACCCCCTCAGGGCAGTGGCTCTCTGTAAACGTCCGACAGAGCTGGGTGCGTGATAGCGTCCAACGCTGGAGACCCCAGGTTGACGGTTCCTTTTCCAGGAACATTAGGCGAGCGATTAAGAGTTAGAAGCAGTCGACTCGCAGACGGGGTCCTCTTCCGAGTGAATTAACCTCAACGTGATTTGTGGTGTTTTGGTTTTCCACTTAAGGGCCAAACAGGTGTTTAATTGCCCGGTAACATCCAGGTATTAAGTGTTTGAACGGCCTCGGGGTTTCATCTGTGCTTCCCATGTGGTACAGGGCCATCATCATCATCCCTCTCTGTCTTGTTTCAGCTTCCAGGAGGTTATTTGCTCACCTGTAGCTTGGCAAGCTCTGCACAAGGTTGCACAAGCCGAACGGCCTCCTGGTTAACTTGATCAGATGACTCTCTGAGTGACCTTTACCCTCTGCAGAGAATTTCTTAAGTATTCATACCTCTTTTTTTATGCTCTGTCACATTACAACCACAAACCTTAATGCACCCCATCACAATTTTATGTGATAGACTAAGTAAAATACAGCTTATAATGTTTTTTTCTTCTTCTTCTGATTCACATTTAACTATGTAGTACGTCACTAGTACAAACAATATATATCTTTACACGTAAAACTGTCACCATGCACAGATAATTTGAAAAAATCTATCTCATTTCCCTCCTTCTGCAGAAATGCACTGCTCCCTGTCAGAAACAACCAATCAGAGCCAAGAGGAAGGTCTTAGCGTTATCTATCATGCTCGTGTGTGCGCTGCTCAGTGTGCCAACCTACAAGCAACTTACCGTTACAAAAAAAAAAAAACCCTGTTTATCTGTTGTCGTCCGTGGCTATGCTAACTAGCCTTAGTATTCATGTCAGGCTCTGGTGTGGGGAACTAGCTGTAGCGCATCAGAAAGCAAGTGGAGGGTGTGAGCAGCTCACACTCGGTCAGGCTGGATAAATAGCGTGTGTATTCGACACACACAGGTTGAATACAGTGTTTGTATTCAACCTGTTACTGTGTCCTTGAAAATAAGAGCATATTCGTATCACCATACAGTCGGTGTGTTTCTGCCCGGCTGCTTGTAGTGACACTGTAACTGAAACAAGATGAACTTTTTTTTTTTTCTTTGTTTTTTTCCCCTGTCGGTCACACAGCAGATCTGATGGAAATGCAATGTGTTCTGCATTTGCCGGGTCGCCTCTGTGTCACATTATCACTTTCAGAATGAGTTCATGAGTCCTGCTGTTTGCACTCATGGACGCGATATGATGTAACGCCGAAGCAACATTTCAGATGCACGTTCTCACAGAAAAATCAATGAATGTTGTTTTCGAAGGAACTGTCTCTTTCACGGGCCTATTGTCGCTTACATGTAAACGACTCCCATATAGAAAAAAAACTTCATTTGCTGCTCAGATGATTTTGTTGTTGTTGGTTGTTTTTTCTGTCATATCTTGTAACAGCTGAGCCTCTCTTATCCCTGCCTGTCCAAAATAATAAGAACTGTACGCGTCATCGTCCGGCCTGACCTGCCGTGCACTGTGCCATATCCCCAGCTCCACTGGGAGCTCCGCTGGGACTCTTCGTAATGTGCCTCAGACGGACCCCTGTACTTGAACGGCGTAATCAGTGCCAGAGCAGGATATTAGCTAAATTGCACATGAAAGAAGGGATATTTAAAGGAAGCTCGAGCGCTAAATATTATGATAAATTATGTTCTCATATGAGAGGATACGTAAGGGTTGAATAAGAATAACAGAGGCTCGCACGCAGCAGGAGATGGGGTGGATTTTTTTTTTTTAAAGCAAGACTGTACCTTTTATTTTGAATAAGACAGGAATGAGAAACCTGAATGTCACAAGAGTCACTGTGCAACAAAATAGATGTATTTCCGTGTTTAGCTCCGTCTTTTACTGGATGGACTTTGTGTATTTTCTTTGTTTTTCTTTACCATAGAGAGGACATTAGACACAGTGCTTCTAAGTGTAGCTGTTTGTCTTAGATAGAACTATTGTTGAAATAAACTTTATTTACTTTTTTGGTTTTTCTTACCACACAAAAGTACTTGTGGCTCACTTCATGAGGTATTTCTGCCATTAAATTTCTGTACTTTCTCTGTTTTTCTTTCAGTAGAAAGTATCCCTGACTCCCTGAGTCTGTGTTTTTACATGTCAATCCCGGCCTGAACTATTAACCATTAATTACTTCTGAAAACTTGATTTTTTTCCCCTCCTAATCAAAAGTAGGAGGAACGTTTATACGTGTGCATTTTCTGTCCCTGACAGAGCGATTGCTGCCATTAACTTTGAGCACTCTACTTGTTTTTCTTTCCAGGAAAAGCATTTCTGGCTCAGTGTTTCTATCTGTAGTTGTGTATTTGTCCTGGGTGCAGTCATTGATAAAACTAGAGTTGGCATTAACTTTGTGTTCCTGCTTTGTTTTTTTCTTTTCATAGAAAGTACTCCATGATTTATGCTTTTGTGTGTAGGCTGGGTTCTATCATTGACTAAGTTATTGCTGTATGTACCTGTATTGTTTTTATTTCAATGAAAGAAACAAAGTGTCGACCACCACTCAAAGCTTTTTGCTCCACATTTGGATGTAACGTGCTCATGAATTTTGAATAAGAAGCAACTTACGGTGACGGAGTGAAGTAAAATGAAAATCCAGTTCTGATTGGGTTCGCTGTTGTTCTTCTTCGACACTGACAGGATTGTTGTTTCCCCTCAACTTTTTCTTACCATCCAATTTCACATGTTGCGCTCAACTTTTTAGTTCAGCTAATAGGAGGAAGACCAATGCTACTCAAATTATGCAAATAAAATAACTTCAACTCAAACAGATATTTCTTTCAAAAAGACTAAAACAGTTAACCCTGACCCTATTGCAAAACATGTTCATAACATTTTTGGATAAGATTATTCTCGGGTAGTGAGATTTGCTCAGTTCGGCCAGTTTTGAGCTTCTTTCAGAATGAGCCTTTTTATGGCCTCTTGTCACTTTAAATCCGAATAAGCTGCTGCTGGCCACGCCCCCCTGTCTGAAAATGTACGCAGGTGAAAATGGCGGCAAACAATTATGCAACCATACATGTTTGAAAAACAGAAGTGGAGCCTCTTACACAACCAAAAACATTGCAGCAAATAGTTCCTGGATGGTAAGTCAACAACAAAACACCTATATTTATCAGCAATCATTGTACAGCGCATAAAACCAGCTGACCAAACGTCCGGGGGCTCAGCTTGGGTTGCTAGGTGGTTGCTAGGTAACGGCACATCCTGTGACTTAACAATTGGACGTTTTTAAACGGCTTATTTTATTTGTAGACAGGAAAAAAAAAAAACATTAAATTATTGCCATAAAATGGCAGAGTATTTTTTTTAACGCTTGGGTTGTTTGTAGAACAGACAGAAGGTATCGAGTGGCCAATAGATACCGCTTTGCATTTTCTTTGCTCGGATGTCCAGGTGTAAATTGTTCCTCCCCCTTGCGAGGAGGGGGGGAAATATTTTATTTCAGGTTCATCGACATGTGCTGGTTTCAAGAAATAATGTGTAGTTACATTTTATTAATTTTTCTTAAAATAAGTTCATATATCTTGTTCGTATAAGTAGAAAAGGTCTTGTTATAAATACACTAGTTTTAAGATATGTGTGGGTTCATTTTGGTTAGATATTTTTTTTCTTGTTTTGGAAAATCTTGACCAGATAAATTTTCTTGTTCTTGTTGGAAGATAATTTTTCTTATTTTAAGGAATATATACCCTGTTTTTGTACTTTTTTTTCTTGTTTTTGAAAGGGAACTTTTTGCAGTGTTCTTATTCTTTTCCTAAGAATCAAGTCATGTCTCCTTGTAACTCAGTTATCATCCACACCTTTTGCCCAAGCCCATCTCCTCCTTCCCTCCGACTCCCATCACCTCCACCTATAGGCACTCCTCTCTCCCCACCCCACTCCTCCTTTAAAACCTTTCCAAGTGGATACCCCACAGGAAGGGTTTCTCCACAAGGGGAAATGGGTCCCAGATGTTTGTCTTTTGTGTCCCCATAAGCTCCTCCTGGGATGGCGGGCTTGAAGGGTGATTATAGGAGAAGCGGGTGCGAGGGGTAGGGGGGGCATAGTGTGCTGTGTACAAATGTTAATACCCACAGCCCAGGAGGGTGAAGAAACTCACAGGGCGGAGGTGAAGGTGAGGAGAAACGCAATGACTGGTTCCCTTTGCTGGGCCGGCACAGATATCCAAACACATCAGTTATGATTGGTCACACCGCTGCGCTCCTACCAGCTGAAGACGTCATCGCAGGGCTTTGAGCTTTTGTTCTTTGATGCAAATTGAGTTGACTGCATTACAAATTTTAAGAAACTTTTTTTTTTCCTTTCTTTTTTTTTTTCTCCCTGTCTTTGGACTTCAAAGTTTAAAGCACGACTTCTCTTCGGCGTTTTATTCCTGTCAGGTCAGAACCATCTGGTGTTGAGACACAAATAGACAATACATCTGCCTGTTTTGATATCCAAGCTATTCCTGCTGCGCATAAAAGCCGGCGTACTGTACAGTGATGTATGTTTTCTCCAGAAAGGGTTAATTACGGACCCTCGTGGAAACGGAGCAGAGATGAGAGCGGGGCCTAAGTGTTTAGTGAAACATTATGTCAAGACTCTGACAAGGAAATGAAATGTGCAACATCAATCAGCCTATGAGGATCGAGATCAAACGAGCCTCCACACTCCTGCATCTGGTTCTGTTTGGACAGCCGCACCATTCCCTCCCCCCCCGGACCCCCTCCCTTTTCTTCTCTTTTTCCTTTCCCCCTTCCTTATTCTTCTCTCCCTCATTCCTGCTCTTCTATTCTTCTTTGAGCCGCAACATTCCTGTTGTTAGCTCATTTTTTCCATCACGGTGGCACAGAGCCACACTTTTGCTCAAGGTAAGCAGCAACTCCAGAGACTGAAATCAGCAACAGTGTCTCACTGTGTTAATGCCGTTCAATACTGCCATGGATTTGACCTTTTCCATGAATTAAGCCTCATATAATTCACTGTCTCTGTGCACGGTCTTGCTTTGATGACTTTTTTTTTTTTTTGTTCTCTCTCTCTCTCTTTAGAGACAATTAAACCCAACAGGCACTGTTGACTTCAGTTTCACAATATGGATGAAATGTGAACCAGTGCAATCACAGGGCTCATCAAAACGTCCTGCCCTCTGTGGAAATCGCACTCAGGTTTTTGGCTACAAACTCTCAGGCAGCATCTACGGGATGACATGGAAGAAAAAAAAAAGGCACAACAGAAGTACCACTTGCTTGTGAATAATACCAGTTTCTTACGCAACATCTTGTTCAAAACTAAACTTAAACCAGCGTCGGTCCTGCGGAGACGGATAGATTTTACATAAAAGCCACCACAGATCGTGCTCTCGACGAAAAGTCCAGAATTTCAACAGCAGGAAACTCCCCACACCATGTTCTCCAGCTATCAGGGGATGAGTCACGTTAACTCATGACGCATGTTGGGCATAAATGGTTGCTGCTGGGGGAAACTGACAAGGATGCAAAGGCAGATTCACGGACCATTTAGTAATTAAATCAAATGAACAGATTGAACAAACAGAACCTGACGTCATTTTCCCAGCAGGGTCTACCTGCTGGGTCACGACTGGCAACGTGAGGGAAAACGTCTTTTAAGTGGCTGCAGACGCAGACGCTGCGGCGGGTGTGGAAGTGAAACATGTGCTGGCTCCAGCCCCGAGGCGTGGATGGCCCAATTAGATGCTCTCTTACCTCTACTGGCTGAAGTTCTCGAGGGGGGTCACCGAGGTCAGGGGTTATTTAGGGTCCGACCTGCATTGACTTCCTAACGCGAAACTGATGAGTTGGACAGCCTATATCAGGAGCGTTCGTAGAGACGCTAAATGGTTTTAGCAGAGTTTTTCCCTCACTTGTACGTCTTGAAGCTGTTGCTGTCTAACATCGTGGTTTTCAACCTGTAGCACAAGAATCTGATGGGAATTATTTGCAAAGGTAAGAGCAAAGAAATAATCTAGGATGTGGAGGAAATATACCATAGACATAACTTTGAGAATGTTGATGTTTGCATTTGCAGAGACTTCTCAAACCGAAGGTGCAATAAAAAAAAAAAAAGAAAACTGGCAGTTCCCTGAAGCGGATGACAACAAGCCAGGAACAAGTGCCGGTGACTATTTATGCTACATTTCATGTATCCAAATCCAAATTTTGATCTGGGAATTACATCAAGCTCAACCTTAGAGGGATAGTTTGTAAATTATAAAGTGAGGTTCTGTGAAGTAGAAAAATGATCACTGGTTTGCTGAAGATGAAATATGGTGTTGTAAAGCTGACAACACATTTTTTTTATGCCTGTGGGTTACAAAGTTACATTTTTAACACTCTATACTCTGAAGAAGTCAACGACCACTAGTAGGATAACCCTAAAAATGAGAAAACAGCAGCAAGCAAGCAGCGATCCATGCTAATTCACCTCCACGTATTAAAGGTTTTGAATATTTTCAGATTTTTCTACAAATCATATGCATTTGAGAAAAGAAATGCAGCTTAGGAAGCAGAATACAACACTACTAGACAGGCTATTGGCTGGCATTTGAAAAGAAGCCAGTCTAGAAGTGCCTTTTATTTCGTTTGGCACAGATTGGCTGAAGCCTCTAGAGAGGAAATAAAGAAGACTGTGGATGTTAGCTTCTGCGTTAGTGCTAAGTCAGTTTCCATTGTGTGCCTTAAGGTACATTAAGGTGTTTCAACTATTGAAATAGACAGTTAAAAGCAATTTTCAAGGGTGTCTCAAGTATTTGCAGATTTCAACCATTTGTGTGCGACTTAACAATTTAACCTTTCTTTCTTTTTTCTTTTTTCTTACCAGAAACTCTATTTGGCAATGGTGCCAAAAAAAGTAACGGGTCATTAATATCTACTAATGTATCTTGAGTATGAACATTTTCAGCTTGATTTTTTTTTAAGTGCTCAACTCTGCCGAACGGCATCCATCCGATTAGCTGCTAGCCTTCAGCAGAACCTCGCTTTTCTTAATGATCATTTTAACCATGGAGACGTAACAAAATACATAATAGTGAAATGAAACAGCTCTCTGTTGCGAGGCCACTCTGCCTGCAAATGTGTTGGTGTCAAAAATTTCAAGAGCTGCAAAATGTCCAAAGTTTTTTTCTTTACTTGGCTCTCGGCAGGTTTCAAATGCACTGTTGCCACATTTACACTTACTTCCTTGAAATCCCAACGTCAGCTGACGTTCCTGTTTATTTGTCAAACATGGAACTTAGAAATTCAACTTCTGAGCAGAAATCTAACACAAAGAGCACAGAATCTGCTGTGTTACACTTTTGAAACACCTGTCATTAATACCCGTTAATAAAAGTTTGAGAGAGATTAGTCTAACAGAGTTATGAGAGCATTGGCAGATCTTTATGTAACTGTCATTTATAAACATAAATTTCTGATATATTTCATAACACGCACTTTCCCCTCTGCTGAGATGTGTTTCAGTCCAAATTTTATGAAACTCTGGAGAAACGTGACGCATCCCAAAGTCATTTGGTGCCGGCTCAGATGATTGCAAGATATGGCAATAAAATACACACAAAAAAAAATTACGTGTCTTTCTCCCTCATACCATAAATCTTCTTCATCCACATAGCTATTATACTGCCTGATCTGTGGTGCATCAGGTTGTTTTCGCAGTCTGTGGTCGCACAATCATGACCAAAAATAATGACAAATAGTGTGAATTTGCTAAATGTTAAAAAGAAAAAAACCAAAGACATCAACAATGTGTAATTTGTGAATGTTTCTGATCTGCCTGACAATTGAACTATATAATTATCACCATTAAAGACTAAACCATGCATGTGTCAGGAATATAAGGCCTGTCTGGCCACGAGGATGCCGGCGAACTGAAGGTCCAGCCCCAAATCTGGAACCTATAAACCTCAGACATCCCTGCAACATTAGGCACAGTTCTCCTCATTGGCTGAGAGCGCCACTTACTCCCTTTTCTCCATCACCCGCCCAACTAATGTATACTTCCTGCTTTCCTGGCTGTTCCAGGCCAGGCCACACCCTCCAAAAGTCTGCAAAGCCAATGAGGAGCGACCGCAGGGCCGAGGGTTAGCGTTTGGCTATAAAAAAGGCGGAGGTGGACCTGCCTGTCAGAGGACTTGTTGTTGCTCTGTCTGGTCGGCAAAAGGAGGGAATGTAAAAGTGTGACATTTAACAAGGTGAAGCAGGACACAGGACAGCCAGGGGGGGGGTCCAGTCTGATGGAGCTTCAGCAACTGTGATTTCGTTGGACGAAGGAGAAACGCGTGACCTGTTGAGAGTGTCAGCAAACCGTGAAAACGAGCCATACCTAAACCGCTCGGCGAAGCGGAGGCTGGACACCGCAATGAGAGAAGAGGTGTCCTGCACCAACTCCCCCGAAGGAGGGCTGGGGGCCAGCGAAGAGGAGCTGGAGAGGGCATCGAAGAAGACCCTCCAACAGGCAAACCGAAAGCGCTCCCCCTACCCAAAGAAGGACAGCCTCAGTCAGACGGAGGAGAGCAGCACCGGCAGCACCAACAGCCTCCTGCCGTCCGGGCCGAAGAGGCTCAAGAAGAGCCCCTCAACCATCGTGTCATTGGCGCCCACGTCTCTGGGGCCGAGGCCAGAGCCGCCCTTCGAGGAGCTCCACTCTCAGAGGGTAATCGCCAACGTGCGAGAGCGCCAACGCACCCAGTCCCTGAACGACGCCTTCGCCTCCCTACGCAAGATCATCCCGACGCTACCCTCCGACAAGCTGAGCAAGATCCAGATCCTGAAGCTGGCCTCACGCTACATCGACTTCCTGTACCAGGTGCTGCAGAGCGACGAGATGGACGCCAAGCTGGCCAGCTGCAACTACCTGGCCCACGAGAGACTCAGCTACGCCTTCTCCGTTTGGAGGATGGAGGGGGCCTGGGCCATGTCCACCAGCCACTAGGACCCCTCTAAACTCATCTCATACACCCTCTCGTGTCCACACCTCCACCTCCCTCCCTTCCCGAGCCTTCTGTCTGTGTTTGACCTCTGACCCTCTGAACCTCCTTTGTTTGCATGGTCTGATCTTAACCTTTTTACCTAAACCCTTTGCATACATTTTTTTTCTGTGCTGCATAATGTTTCATTTATCAGCTAAATATATGTTGCTGCAACCACCATCCCTCCACCTCCACCTCACCTCTGCTGCTCCCTCTTCTCTTCCTCGTCTGTCCCTGAGTTTAGTCCAGCGCAGCGAGTCACAACACTGCGGCTTCTCAGGTAAGAGCAGTACTCACAGACAGGGTGGGATTTTAAAACGTATGCATACGCAATTGTGCAAGCAGAGTTCACTGAGTACAATCTTCCTTACACACGCCAAAAAGTCTAATAATTGTTGCCGTTTTTTTTAGGGCCTTTCAGCCTGCTAAATTATTAATAACTGAATAAAATACAATTAAGCAAAAATAAATGAATACAATCATTGATCTGTTGGAACGAAAATGTCTCATTTAAAAGAAGACCAATGGAGCGTACATTCATGCACACTAAACGTTATGCTATGAAAGACACTGCATTTGAAAAAAAACAAAGAAAATCTGACTGGTCTGCCTGACTTAAGTTTTCAAACATTTTAATTTCAGTTGCATGTCCAACCCGAAAAAACGAATTGCGTTATATAAAAGTTATCTTTCTCTGAACGTGTAACACAATGACATTTTAAGTTAACCATAAATCTGAGCAATTAAAATTTTTTCGCAAAGTTTTGTCTCCAAAATATTTTCCAAGTGAAATTAACATATAAAATACTTTATTGGGATTTTATTTAGATTTTTTTATGGTCTTGTTCAGATAATATTGCAATTCTGTATTTAAAAAAAAATAGAATTTGCAAAAATTTGCAAATGGGAAAAAAAAGGAAGCTGTTGTCACTAATTTGTTCTCAATTAAAATTGGTCAGATTAATAAAAAAAAACCCTGTTTGATAGATTGAATTGAATATTTTGAAAATTTGGTCAAATTTAAAAAAAATTTTAAACGCCGACTAGAATAAGTATGTATCAGGAAAAATGCAAATGAAAACGTAAATCAAAAATTCCCATTGGATTTTATTTCCATGCCACGTGCAGTGATGTGCAATTTAACAATATATAAAAGATAAGTATGTCAGTATGTTTCCATTGCTGCAGAAAAATTCCTCTTTCAAACTAAAAAATATATTTCTAACTGAATGCAAAAAGGACAAATCTCTTTTCTGAAAGTGGTTTTTCCTTTACTGACTAAGTTTATCTCACCCCCACTACAAACAATAATACCTTGTGCAGTAGCAAGACTCAAAGACGGCAGAAAAGCCTTTTTGTTTTCTGTGTTTATGACTTAAAAAAAATTAACGATTATCTTCATCGTAATCTAACCTCTGGGGGCTCCAGTGTTTGACAGAACTCTGATGAATTTAAGACAAATATTTTCCTTCCAAAATCTCCAGGGTCTGTTTTCCTTTTTTTTTTTTTTTTTGCTTTTTTGTTGTTTGTTTTGTTTTTTTCAACCACTTCTAACAGACACCAGATTCCTGTACAGGTACAGCATGAAAGAAGAAAGGGAGAGTGAAATGAAAAAAAAGAAAAGAAAAGAAAAGAAAAAGCACAGGCACATCAGTCCCTCTCTCCCCCTGCAGCCTTGCCCTCTTTCCTGAGGATCTTGTATCGTGCAATCAGGCCTCGCCGGGGCCCAGACAAGCAGGAACCTTTAGATTGGAACCAGTTGTGAGGTATTAGGGAAGGTGTGCACACCAGGGTGAGGGTCAGGCTGTGCATGCTAGCGCGCGCGTGTGTGTGTGTGTGTGTGTGTGTGTGGCTGTGCTTAGAGGCTTAATTGGCGTTGCAGGGATGATTGTGTGCATGCAGGTAAAAGGAATACACACATGTTTTTGTATCCCTCCTNTATTCGATGTTTCTTTTGTCTTGGAGGAGTTGCAGAAAGGAGAAGCAGTAAAAAAATAATAATAAAAATACAGGGCTGCATTTCTATGAAATCAGCTTAGAAATCTGTTTCTGCTGCTAGGTTGACACCCCAAGGTGACTCTTGTCAAGCAGGTGCACACGCCAACATCAAACGCAACACGAACAAAACGCACTGCATAGCAAGAAGCAGCGA